GGCCGCCCCGGTGCCGGCCGCCGGCTCCCGCCCTGCTCCTGCCCCTCGTGTCTCCCCTCCGCTCCCCAGGCCTGGCAGCTCCCCAGGCCCGTGCTCACCAGCTGGTTTTGCTTTTTATTTTCCCCCCTTCCTACGTTCAAAGATGCGGTACGAATTCCGATGTCTTTCTGTTAAATTATTGCCTTTCGTTTCTCTTTGTTTTGTTCCGTTGGGGTTTTAATGCAGTTATTTTCTTATCTTTAAGTGCCTTTTTGAGCACCAGAACAAATGCTTGGAGTTACCGTAGGCCCGTGCTCACCAGCTGGTTTTGCTTTTTATTTTCCCCCCTTCCTACGTTCAAAGATGCGGTACGAATTCCGATGTCTTTCTGTTAAATTATTGCCTTTCGTTTCTCTTTGTTTTGTTCCGTTGGGGTTTTAATGCAGTTATTTTCTTATCTTTAAGTGCCTTTTTGAGCACCAGAACAAATGCTTGGAGTTACCGTGCCCGGAGCCGCGGGCGCCCGCGCCGCTGTGCTCTGCCGCGGCCGTTGCTCTTAAAGTCCCTTTTAGTTTTTATAAATGAAATAAAACCTGGATGTTTTGTTGAAGAGTAAACCAGCCCTTTTTAATATGGAACTCCAATTGTAGTTTTAACTACTGTAAATTTAAGGGCAAAAAATGTATTTTTCTGTAATTTAACTTGACACAGAATTTAACCACTTATGTTGTAGGAGTGCTGTAACTGGAAGCTGCTCATGCTTTGTGAGTAACGTTGTCCTGATCGCTGATACCTCCTTCGAGACCTGGGCCATAGCTCCAGGGGGTTCACAGAAGTGTTCGCTTAGACTGTGAAAATTTACAATTTAGCAGTTGGTTTAAGAGAGTGCTGGGAGCACCCGTCCTGCCAGGTCATCCTGCTGTGTCCACCGGAGCCCGGGAGCAGCTCTGCCCTCACGGACGTGTCCTGGCGGTGGAGGTGGTGGCCACGTGGCTCTGTCCAGCCCCATCGTCATGGACCCGTCCATGGCGGTGGAGGTTGTGGTCCACGTGCCCCCGTCCTCCTGGACGTGTCCGTGTTGGTGGCGCTGTGCCCGCGGGGTCAGGTCTCGGCCGTGCAGAGCGCGGCCGTCCCGCGTGGGAGCTGCGACGCGC